TTTACTTGCTCAAACTCTTGATTTTATAACTTTATTTTTATTTTCTCGTTTTTTCTGTGTAAACACCAAAACTTATGTTTTTTTTCAATGCTGAGAACTTAAATCCCCATTGAAGTGCTCATTTCTCTATTCTAACAAACTTGTATTTTGTTTACAGGAAATTCTTTCTACCTCTTTTCCATACGGCTCCATCATCTGTAAAAATCAAACAATCCATTTATTTTTCAATGTCTGTAAATATATCATTAATCATTATGAAAAAATAACAGACTTACAATGTTTCCTTGGGATATTCCATTTTCCACTGTATATTTTCTTGACCAGTTCTAACTTGTATAGTTCTATATGATAAAACGTTTTGCAGTTAAACATTTTTCCAGTAATACCCGTTTGATGTAATTTAATTAGCGATCCTTCAACCCACATCATGCCATACACTTTCTCTATATCAAAAAAATCCAGGAACTATGCTTTCTTTGTTGACTTGTGCTCCTCGATTTCATGCTCTAAACACAATGTTGAGTCAGCAAAATGTTTGTAAGCTCAAGCATCCAGGTAGATAAATACAAAAAAAGTTAAATCATGTCAGTCATTATTATTCCTCCTTTTTCAAAAACCACTTTGATATTTAGATACATACCCATTAATAAATTTCATTTTCTAAAATCTGTGTTTGTTATACAGCAGCCACTTGTGTCCACTAAGCACACATCTGTTGGTGATTAACTGATTGTATTCTCCCATCAGAGCAGGAAGACAATCAGTAGACTCTTAACCAATAACATGCACTATTACAATCAGTCCATCTCAACAATCTGTAAAATAAAGACAAGCATTAACAAGAAAACTCCAAAATGTTAAATAGTCCCCACTTCTAGAGCACCTAGTATTTAACGTCATCCATGAAGTTTCTCATTCACACGCTCAGACTAACACATTTTAACCTTCTCAGTCATTAGCCCTTATTGGGTAAGTGTGGGGTATTCAGGGTCTTTCCTAAAGATTT